GAAAAAGATAAATTTGTCACAACAAAGGTTAAGTAGCAATCCATTGTACGCTGATTTCTACCAAAAAGAATTTGGTTGATTTAATAGAAACAGTTTTTCCGATAAAGTTTCAGAAAAATGTATTAAAATTGGGTGTGGTATCTTCTAAATTTCGGAGTGAAAAACGTGATCAAACCAGGAAAAGTTTGTTTAGTCTTTGACGCACCACTAAAACTGAGAGAATTTTATTTAATGATTTACAACTAATCAGTTCCTTTCTTTTGAGACCATTAGTGGATTTCTTGATGCGTTTTAAAAAGTACTCGTGTGTTCTAAAAGCTGATCTAAGAGACATGCTCTTGAAAATTAAAAAACGTAAGGATAAAATATATTGGTTTTTTCCATGGGAGTTATGACAATGTTCTCAATCAACTACGTCAAAAATATTCGATTGTGGGAATGCGTCAGGGACTACGTTCATTAGTCAGTTCATGTAGCGAATGCAAAATACTCCGAACTTACCAGCTAATCCAAAAATGTTCCCTCTCCCGTTAGCTACATCATCGTCCTTTTACCTACTGCAGGTTGGACTATTTCGGTTCAATGACCGTGAGAATCGGTAGAAAACACGAAAAACGTTGGGCCACGCTTTTAGGTGTATGACAAAGGGTGCAATACATATTGAAACTAAATGACTACGGATTAAAAATGAGATCAGATGGGAGTTTAATCTTCCTACTGCTTCGTACATGGGAGGAGCATGGATGATAATGATTCGCTCGGTCAAAACAGCTCTAGCAGTAGTTTTGAAAGATCAAGATCCTAAAGAGGAAGTTATTGCAACCTTTTCACTTGAAATTGAACGCTCAGTAAATTCTTGTCCACTCACTCATGCTATGGAGAAACTCTGACGCGAAATCATTTCTTGTTAGGCACCTCTTGCAGTTAGTTTAAGGTAGCTACAGTTTATATAGAAGTCGATTGTCTGCGTCAAAAATGACTTATAATTCAACATTTCGCAGATGCATTTGAACAAAGATGGCTACGCGAATATCTGCCAACTCTAGTTCCGTAAAAAAATGGCACGAGAATGATGTACCGTTAAAGGAAAACGATTTGGTACTTGTATTAGATAACTGCACAGAGAAAAATTACTGCAAAAAGGAGTTGCAGTCAAAGTAATTCTAGAGTCTAATGGACGAATTCGTGTTGTTGAAGTACATACTGTAAATGTAAACTTAATTAGACCTAGCAGAAGTTTAAAGAAATTTGTAAAGTACGAACCTTACCAGATTCGTATAAGAGAGGGAGTATGTTTCAAATGTCAGCTTTATAAACGCGTTGACAATGTATTCTGTAACAAGTTTTTACTAATATCTTATCAAGTTGAGTGCGAACGTTTCACTGCTACGACTAACATAGGCAGTGTAGCTCCTGTCCCGTCATGATGATCAATGGGACCATCAGGGACACATTATTTCAATTCTAGAAACACGGGGTACAAGAAATATAGGCTTTTATACAGACGGCCGTTTGCAAGATGTTCTTTAGCGTTATATTCTTTTAGTTACAATGGTTACTTTTAATTTCAATTCAGTTTTTTTGTTCGTTCCCTTAGCGTCATATTATTCTTTACTCTCGTTAAATAAACAGCTCGAGTTCATGTTTTACGATTTCTAAAATAAACTGGAAAATAATAAAGTAAAATAAACTTCTTGAGAAAAATTTGTGTCATTATTCACGCAAAAGAACCACTGGTTCTAGATAAAATCATAATAAACATTGAAAATATTATACAAAAATAATTTTAGGGGATAGCATACCACCATAAATTTGTTTAAAAATCTTTAGAATGCGTTAACTATGAATTATCATTCTCTTCGCGGACAAAAATTAAGAATTTACGAGTGGTTCCCACAATTTTAAACTAGAAAATAAGAATAAAATAAATTATTCACTGTTGTCAAAAATCTGCGATGAATTTTTTGGGGGTATATCAACAAAATAATATTCTCTTTTTCGTAATAGGTAATTTACATTTCGTTTCTTGAGAGAACAGTCATGAGAATTTGGCACCTACGAAAAATTTTGTTTTTGAGAAATCAATTTTAGGGATGATTTTCACCCCCTCAGAACGTTTTTCCACCAATCAAAAAACATACGTATCCTTTATTTTTGACCCCCTAAATCTGATTGATAATTCCAGGCATGAAAGCAAGCATTTTTAGGAGTAAAAATGTATTTATTTACTTGAAATACTTTTGGAAGGGTATCTTTTATAATTCCACTAGTATTCTTTTAATATTCAATTAATAAAGCACTTGTAATGATGTTAAATTTTTATTTTTTTTAACAAAACCCCACTCAGACTTAAGGGCGGTTAAGAAGTAGTTACAGTTTCCTGCCTTATTGGTAAGGTTTTTTTTTATAGCTTTATAACTTTGTTTATTTAACAGATAGCTACTTTATAAAGAATGTTAGCACATTACTGATACTTTAAAGAATACATTAAGTCCAGAGATAGCAAGATTGACAAAGAATTCAAGGAAAAAATTAAAAAATTATATGTTCAACTAACAAGGTGTAATCCGAATTTTCATTGTATCTCACAAAAATGAAGCTACACTTATTCCTTGTAGATACTCGAATGTGCATCTAATATTTTTCTGATATCTAATTGCTCTACATCAATCAGTTATTGTAAACTGAGTAAATTATCTGTTGATCGGTGGAGTAGGAAACTTATTTGAGGCGTTTCACGTGAACTCTCTAAGCGAGTCGCGCGAGTGCAAAATGAGCATACATTTTAGCTCGCTGCAATGCTATTAAAATACTTTTTTTACAAACACTTAAAACATGTTTTCGATGAATTTTTTTTCTTAATGAGTTTTTCGAAAAAATTTCAATATAACGTCTAAAACCATCAAAGAAAAAAAGCGCAATATCTCAAGAACCCCATTTTTAATTTTTTAAAAGTAGTTCCGATCGAACGAACTGGTTTTTTGGTTTTTTTACATTGATACAGCAATTTTGGAGGGTAATTTTTTTTTTTTGGAGTAATTAAAAAAACAAAATAAAATATCGCACGTTCACCTGAACTCCACGTAAAGGCTGCACCACGGTACGATACAGCATACCTGTATTTATAGGTAGTAAATATGAATGTTGTCTGCTGCATTCTCGAAGTATAGACAAGCTACCTTGGACCGAAAGTTAGAACCACAGTGTTTGTAGGTTGAACAAATGTACTTTGTTATTGTTTTATACTTAGCTAATGGAGCTTAATACTTACTTGATCAGCATATGTTGTGATACTCTGATATGCTAAAAATAATCGTCACAAAGAAGTAGTACAAGTTATTTTAATCTTGCTACTGTACATTTTATACTGAAGATTATTATCATCATATCAAATAACAGCAAATAGACGAACTGACTCGTATAACTAGGAAAACATGTATTATACTACTGTAATATTGCAAGTTTGTAATTGTTAAAACAACCATTTTTTCTTTTAATAATCATTAACAAATATAGTTTTATTAATTTAATTATAATAGTCATTATGATTATCAGTATCACCAGAAGCATTTTTATTAAAATTACTTGTTTTTAAAGCACTACAAACAGAAATTCTCTCAATAAGAATAAATATATTTGTACTACTATATTTTTTTTGTCATTCGCAAAAACGGATTGCATGGGAAGTTTAATAAATAAAAATAACGAAACTGTAAGTTTATCATTTACCAAAATTAATTTTATGGTATACAATTTAGAGATTCGACATCAAGTGATCAACAGTGTTTACGCTGAGCTAAGGGGAACGCGCGATACTTCAATTTGATTTTTTAATTGCTCCAATTGAAAAAAAAAAACATATCCTACAAAATCATTACACCGACGTCAAAAGACTAGTTCTTTCGATCTAAACCACTTTAAAAAAAATTAAAAATGGAGTTTTTGAGACATGGCGCTTTTTTTTCTATTGACATTTTTTTTTTGGAAAACTGATTAATGCATCTAAAAGGTGAGAAAAAAATACATTTTTTAAGTATTTGTCAAAAAAGTATTTTAATAGTATAGCAGTGAGCTTAAAAGTATGCTTGTTTTGTACTCACGCGACGCGCTTGGAGAGTTGGCGTAAATTACCTAATTTATGCACAGTAATATTTGATGTCTAATTCAGTTAAGTGATGTTATTTGCGTTAGTAATTCACTCTTTATAATTTTTGGCAAAAGGAAAGAAGTGGATGCACAGTCTTAAGTTAATAAGGAATAACTGTAGCGTGGTTTTGGCAAGATATATTCTGTCGAAGTATGAAGTAGAAAAGTATGAAGGAGAAAAGTATGAAGAAGAAGAGTAAAAAAATTAGATCACATCTTATTAATCTAACATCTGATTTTTTACTTTTCACCTCGAGTTCTCAATCAATCTCAAAGCCAAATTTAGGCTTGATTTATTCTTTGAAGTACCAAGAATGTTCGGTCACTCTTATTTTTCCGATGAAAAAGCTAGCTAGATTAATAAATAATGTTATTAAGCTGTGCAATCAAAGTAACTTTGACGATACCATAGGAAACATTAACTATCTTTTGACTGCCCTTAATGACAAATATAGGTGGTTTATTGTTTAAAAATCATCTTAAGTAAAACTTTGTGTTACAACTTTTCATTAATCGCATAGCGTTTTTCTCATTTTGACTAAGATACTAATATATAACGATAATAATGCTAGGAAAACACCATATACGCAGGCATTATAATTCACACCCAAGTGAAACGAGTACACGATAAAACACACATTGGTTTGTCACCTACTAGCTTGTGTTGTGTACACAATTATTCAACGTAACACGCAGACAACGTGTGCAGGGCATTCGAATTTTCAGCAAGTTTCTGTGATTATAGCTGCAAGCTCCATGCACAGCGTATGAAAAAAACATTTTAGATTGTGTAATCTGTAGAGAACCAATAATTTCATTTCCTAACATTTATTAAAGCATAGTATGAAACTTACCTTCGGAATATTTCAAGTTGTTCTGCTCCGGAAATTTCAGTAACAAAAACTTTATTGTCAGTCGAAGTGATCGTATTCTCTAACCATGAAAAATATTTAACTAAAGCAACGCCATCACGAACATGAGCCAATTTCATTCCTTCGATTTCATTTTTATTTTTGATAAGTTTCATTAAACAAACAGGTGAAATAGCTGTGTAAATCGATACAGACTTACACTCACAGTGTAAGGAGTGAGACGAATGGTTTGAAATCCAAACTGTTTGACTATTATTTGACGAGATTATTTTTCGCAAAAATAGTTTCACATTCTCATATAATTCGATTTCATAGTCAACTCCTTCGTTTAACAGTTGTTGTCTTGCTTCAATTGTTACACTTTTTTCATTTGTAAAAATGAAGACCTTACTTTTATGCAAAATAACATACGCAAAGAAAACAGGATTATATTGAATATCTGAACCTCTCCAATTAAGTAAATAAGCAATTTCATCAAGGGCTGTTAATATGAGAGTCGTTACCTTGTGTTTCTGCATCTCTCGGATACAATCACTTACTTTGTTTCCTGCTGTTTTTCCAGAATAGACAATATTTTGCGGTAATATTTTATTAAGAATACGAGTAGGTTTATTATTACCCCATACTTTATCAACTAAGTTATCTTCAATAGGCAGCAAAGTATGCCCAGCTACAGACAAACTATTTTTTAAACGATCCCACGTTAAATTACTAATTAAATTGGGATCAGCACCAACTCTTGAATTTGCAGGTAAAGATGAAATCAACCAGTTTTCTAATGATGGTGTTTCTGGTAGTCCTTCTTGCATGAGAGTCCATGCATCAGACGGATCCAATTCCATAAGTGCTTGAGCAAAGTATCTGCCATCTGTCCAAAGCAAAGCATGTTCAGGAGTAATAATAGATGTACCTGATGAACCTCGAAAACCTGATATGTATTGAGTTCTTTTATCCTGCTCCCCGATGTATTCAGATTGATGAGCATCATCTCCTGTAATAATGAAAGCTTGAATGCCCTTTCCATTCTCAACTCTAACATCGCTCATAAATTGTCTGAGGTGAGCCAGTTTCTGCTTTCCACTTAATTCAGCCATTTTCTGTAAGTAAAACATTTTTTGTGTGCATGGTAAAAACAAAATTAGCATTCATGATGAACAAAATAAAAATGATTTTTTTACTTAAAATTTTGTAATAAATATTGTTTAATAATAATAAACTCAACTTATTTGGAATGTCAAGTTTTTTGATGATACTTCAGTAATCACCTAGCAATAAATAAGCTCAAAGTTTTGCAAAAATGCGCTAGCTTTTAACTTTAGTTCAGTATAATTCGCTAGATAGCGTCGAAGAAAAATCTAATCTACCTTCAATAAAAGTGGGTCTGATTATAATATGCCCAAGAAAATTGCCCCATACCATAGTCGTTCACGGCTGATGCATCAAGAATATAGTTGTGAGTCGTGCACTTGGATATTTCGGCTATCAACGACATTCTCCTCCAATGGGAAAGCGACTTATGTTGAATTCCATCCCAAACCACCAAGATTAACGAGTGTCTCGAATAAAAGGTGATTTGAACGCCAACATTTCCGGCATAATACTTACATAATATTTACGTACTCTAATTAACCATCAATCTCAACAGTTCTTTTTAGGGCCATCTAAAGTTTAACTACCTTGTCAACAAATACACTTTTAGAACAATTGCTGGTAACGATTTGTCCCCTAAAAGACTATATAAAGACGGCCACTTTTAAACTAACCCAATCATTCACTGACAGACATCACGAGTGGAGTTGTTCGTCACGAGGCTGGGAACCCCGGCCAACGACGAGCCTACATTACCCTCTTTAAGAATTCAACCAGGAATCACTTATCCTCTTTAAGGTCAACGCTGGGAAAACCTTACACTGAATGAAGCTATAAAAGAGAAATAAACATAAGCAAACGGGACAGCCTTCAACAGGCAAGCGTCACGAATAATTCTCCCAACTTTAAATTATCAAAACAACTGAGATCTGTGAAAAAAAGCGCTTTGGACACCAACGTCTCCAGCATAACACCGGAAGACGTTGGGAAAAAGCTCTACCACTAGCTCCAATGCTTGAGACGTTGTAGTTTTCTTCTTGATCAGTCTGGTACTACGACAGCAGGCCAGAGAAAATCACCCTGAGGTATAAAGGCAGTCACGTTTGCTGAAAACTTCAGTCAAGAAAGCGTGTACTTAAGAAGCTCACCAGTTTTTAGGGCCATTGGATTTCGAGCTACCTTGCCAACAAATATATTAGAACTTAACAAAGTTGACAAAAAACAGCCTTAGGGCTCACAAAAGTTTTAACCATGCCTTAAGTCACAAGAGGGCGAATTAGAAGAAAAACTTCAAATGCTTCTAATGCATAAAATTTTAGGCGTCAAGAAACTGACTCAGAGCATTCATCGAGATAGAAACAGCAGCACTGACGAATACAAAATCCATTAAGTGATAGATTAGCTTTCCATAAACCCCTGATAATTATAAATTAAATCTTCCGGATTTTTAAAAAGGTATATAGTGGAAAAAAGATGGAAGGGCTAGCTTCTCAAGACTGACACGTGCAGCGCTCCCAATGCGTTGGCGCAGTTGCTCTTTTATTTTGAGTGGTCAGGTTCCCCTAAAGTAGGAAAACAATGGTACTAAGCACTTGGGAGATTCGCCGTCCGATTCTATGGGAGAGCCGTGCATACAGAACTTGGGTAACTGCTGCTATAGTGCACAAATTAAAGTACAATAATAAAATGCATTAGATGTATACTGCTACCCATAAAAATTGTTACTTAAAAAGTATTATTATAAAATTTTTTTGTGTAATACTGCATAAGATATTGCCATTAAAATTTCTGCATAAGCTATGCATGAGCTGCTCCCCTACAAATTCGAATGGCGGATCTCCCAAGCACTTCGTACCGATGTTTTTCTACTTTGGGGAGTCTGGCCACCCAAAATAAGAGAACAACCGCACTAACGCATTGAGAGCGCTGCACATGTCAGTTTTGAGAAGCTAGCACTTCCAACTTTCTTCCACTCTATAGAATAATACGTGTATGTATTCATTGTGGCGATAAGAAATGAAGAGATTAGGCTCCAGGACTTTGCTGCTTTGGTGATAAAGTTGCGGGATTGGAAAAAAAAAATTTTAAAGTATATATTTTTTGTCAGCATTAAATCGATACAGTTATAACAAATAGCCCTTTTCATTTGTAATAACGAAAGCAAGTGCAAATCAATGGCCCTTTAGGGCCAACAATAACTTTATGGCGTAAGGAACGCGCGGTACTTTTCAGCATCATTATATTTATTTTTACTTTTTACAGCTTTTTATTCGGCTAAATAAACTGCATGGATTCCGAACAAAAATATTTTTAATTAGAACTTTTTTTTATCAAGAAGTGTCAAGAATAGATGTAAAATTTTCAACTTAAAACGTTTTACATTACATGTCAACACACTATGATGTTCCATTCAGTGAGTCTCCGTTGAAGCCGAGACATGGGGGCTGCTAGCACTGACGTATTGGTATAATACCTCTCCTACTTTGGAATAGTACTACTTTCTATGTAAAAAATAGTGTACACATATTTTAAGTGTCTACGCACTCTTAAGCAGATAAGCCTGCATTATTACTTAATATACATACTTATAATAAAAAAACTTTTCATTAAAAATTCCTGGGTGTTATCTTATGACATATTGTATCAAAAAATAAAAATTTTGTGTGGTCGTGTGTTTGTGCTTACGTATACAAATAGGGATATCTCATACATCCTTTTACAGGTATCCGACATTAATTAAACACAGCTTACTTTTTTTGATTCAAATTTTTTTATAAATAGCAAGAAAAAAAAATTTGAGTGTAAGCCTGTGTTCAATTGTTCTAATTTTCAAAGTCGATTTTTTCTCGACAACTAGATTTTTTTGTTATTTACCGTTGTTTTACTATAAGTAAACCATAGGTAAACAATAAATTAACACAATATACAAAGTCTTAAAAGTCTCTACGAAGTATTGTATTTTGATCAAAACAAGCATGCATAAATGACAAGTATTTTCATAAACATAAAAGAAAAATGTTTTTGGTACATGTATCTTTATTTTTATTCACTATTACAGTCAATTATACCTTAGAATTTTATCAACTGATTGTGATTGCAAAAAGTTCTTACAAAGTCATATTTAGAGAAGAATAAAAAGAATCGTTTGTGGATGTACGTGGAAATATTAATGTGTACGTATATGTATGAATAGTTTTATTCCAGCATTTTATTCTAGCATAATCTTATACGAATTTAATTTAACAAGGGTTATTTTTCTTATTTTAGATATCACTGCTGAAATGTATAATTTTAGTATTTTATTTTTGATTTTTTTAAAACAATTTATTTTCAGAGATTGATTTTTTTTAAACTTCATTTTTTTGTTATTTATTGGTATTTTAAGATGTTTTATATTATAAAATCTTAAACATACTTTATAAAAATGTATGTAAGAAATCATTTATTCACAAAACAAAACATTTAGTGGATGTATGTATACGTACATTGTATATATGTTATTAACTCTTAATATAACTTCTTATTTAGAAAAAAGTTCACGTAAGAGAACTGCACTTTATTTTTAAGATTATTTCTAGTACAATATTTACTATATATATCATGTATGTACTATAACCATCAAGCAGTTACTACCTCGTAAAAATAATGCATCCTGTACATGTGTTATAACTATCCCTAAGTTGGTAAGGTTCGTAACCTACGATAACAGTAACGCTAATCTTACACTTTTAAACTTTTGAGATCGAACCTACTTCAAATAGGAGAACCGTACTCTCAAATCATGAGGGCACCACTACTCCATAGAAAGGTGTAATAATCGTTCCATATAGTGCTGTAGTAGTGCTAAGTTTTTCTCAGTGTACTGTGTATATAATTTATATACAGTTAAAAAGCCAAGAAACCGAGGACGCTCTCTTCAAGCACGCTCGCTATGACCTTCACGAACTCTGAGAGTGCGCATCTATCCTTTACATCTGTTTGTCTGTCATCTGCCTTCGAGGTAGGACACAAAAAAACGGAGTACACTCTGATGAATTCCAAGTGCACGTACTTTTTTTTAATATTTGAGATAAGGCACCATATCAAAGGTTTTCAAAAAAATCAAAAAGAGTAAGAATGGTAATCATTCTTTTGTCTGTGTCCAGTTGCTCATCCAGGATCATAACGAGGGCAGTTTGGGTGCTATGTTCATGGCGAAATTCAGTTTGGAGTAAGTCAAACAGCTTATATCTGTCGATGTATTGAACTATCTGCTGGCGCAAGATCCTTTCAAAGGTTTAGACAAAAACAGAAGTAGCGCTATTGGTCAAGTATTACTAGGCGTGACTTATTCATACTCTTAGCCCATGTCATCAGTAGTGCAATTCTTTATCATCCAAGGCAACCGAGCTAGAGAGTGTCAGTTAAATAAAAATTCTTTGCATTTGTATGCTGGAACCTCATTACGGGGGGTGCCAGCTCATTCACGGCAGCACTACTTACAACGCTGTTACTGGTGGGACAAGAGCAGCCCAACTATAATTTCTATATAATTTTTGATGGAGCAACACAACGATTTTTGGCTGTGCTCATTGCATTTGACATGGCAAGCCTTAGCTTCCTGAACCTTTTAATGTCCTTAAGGTGACTTTACTGCTTACCCTTCTTGTTCGGCCTGTCTCTTTCGCGAATGTGAAACCTAAATTCTGCAGTAACCTATGGTTTACGTCTCTTTGTCAGCTTGATGTTTTATTAATTGATCAGCTTGACTTAACAGTTTGCAACCCAACCTCAAATTTGTTTAAGTGTTCACAGAGTCTTTGATGGAGTTCATTTCTATTTACACAATTAAGTTACCATAATATTAACTTAACTTTTCAGCATGCACTCTGACGATACTATATTTTATTTCAATCTAGTCATGCCTAGTGATGAGGGGACTGAAAAATTTTTTACAACCCAATGTCCGACTTGATCACTTACAATAAACTCATCAAGCCAAGTGTGCAACTGAGAATTGCGAGAAAAA